TTTGAATTTGAATGAATATCGCCATTGAAGTCCCAAGACATGGCTCACGTTGTCAGCTTACCAATTAATCTTAGGCTGACAATTGTTTGCTTGAAGCAGTAAGCGTTAATATTTGGTTGTTTGAACCGTTTGCATACATAGGATATCTCTGGTTGGTGATGTTCGCTGTAATCGCAGCTTTAGAATACTTGTTATAAGGCATAGGCAGCAGCGTCGTGGAAGGACGACTTATGTTCTAAAATAAAGTATGTTCGATCTGCTTCCTTACTGTTTCTCCATATTTCATGTTGACTTTATGTAAAACGATTGCCGCAATGTTTTGGCTGAAGAAATAACAGCGAATGCAGTGTATTATTCTGTTGTATACTGTTGTGATCTGTAAATGTTTATGAATGTTAAAATATAGGAATGCTGGAGATTCGCCCCCTTCTACCGTTCTTTTGTAACTACCGCATGAAATTCCCTGAGTTACCCACTTTTAATGATTCAGCTTAGTGGAAACCTAGATGTTCTGGATGATATTGTATATGATTGTTTCGCACTTCATTGCCGATTGAACATGTCTCGTTCGGCGACGCTGTAGGTGATTAAACATCAGGAACCGTGATGTGCTTCATAGGGCGATTAGATGCTAGGAGCGACGCTGGAATAGAAATTCATTTCTTTGTGCTAGCTATCCCATAATTCTCTTCTGTCTGGGATGTATTTTGCCGTTTCGTTTATAAGAACGATAAACCTGATTTGCTTATGTGCTGCAGATCTTGTCAAACGTTGATGATGGTAATGAAACATGTTTTCGGCTAAGTTTGAATTCGAATTTCCTTGTCTTTAATACCTTTGGTTGCTTGTTGTTTAGGTGTGCAAGATCGCAGCGGACTATAAATTGTCGTTGGGTCACTTAGAACCAAATACAGTGGTGTACGCTCATGAAAAAAGTAGGGTTCATAAAAGAAGTGCTGAGCGATTGCTGAAGCTGGCCTGCGACAATGGCGGTGTCTACATTAAGGTTAGGACCAGTTTTGTCTCCTTTTATTACAGCCGATGTATTGATCAATGACTCATTGACTCATGACCAAACAAAGCTGATTGTAAAACTAATATTGCCAACGGGTTTGCTATCACACCGATGGCTTCGCCAGGGACATAGTCACTAACCGCCTTATCAAGGCATAAACGGAAGGAATAAGGTAGTTGCAGGCGTGACAGATCTGGTCACTAATGGCGGCAATATGGCAGTCCATATTAGGTTTGTGATAGCGCCTTAACTTTCGCTTATCAGACAGAACAGTAGAAGTCATTTAAAATGCGATGCTTCGCTGCCAGACTACAATAGCATTTATCAGAAAACATAATCTTGACTGTGGATAGCTTTGGTGAACATTTGTCATATGCAGGTATTATAAGCTAGATTCTCTTGGCTTAGAGCATAGCTATGTAATGGCTAACGATGTAATACTTTGAGACACTAAACGGTAGTAAATATGAAAATCAGACAGTTAATTATTAAGTTTTTGCACCCTGTGATAGCGTTCCTTTCTTGATGTGTCGACAATAAATTGTTGATGACATCATCGATGGTAATGTCCCGCAGAACAGCAAACAGGTCTAGAATTCCAGAAGATTTGTGCTAATTAAGCTTTTGACTTTTGAGTTTGCTACCATTTAGTATGTTACTCTTAGTTACATTCTCAGCGGTAGATTTGCTTTACAGCCATCACAAGTTAAGATGATCCTTGAGTTGCACCTTTTGAGACAGTTTCGTGGCTTTAATCGCATTAAGCCGCCTAAGCTTCGACATGAACATAATATATAGCCTAACTGGAGAGAGTGCAGGGGCTTGGATATGGGTGTAGTAATTCAGAGTAATCGACATTTTGCCGGTATTGAGTGAACTACTAATCAGTTCGAGCAGTGCGGACGGATTACCATATCAGACTCCAAATCTCTCATATCTGTTCATAATTCCTAACATTTGTACGAACTCTTACCGTGATGGGTTTAAATTTTTTCAATGTATGTTTAGTAAAATTAAATTTATTACATTTTTTAGCTGGTACCATTGTAAGTTAAATCTATAAAATTTGCAAAGATTTGGCTCGGTTAATAAGCTTCTTTTTTATGATCGAGGATATTTTAGGTTGGTCAGCATTTGGGCTCTCTTTCTTACTTGCTTCCGGTAGAGTATGTATCGATCCTATCTGTTTTACACAGCAAGGCGCCGGTTTCTTCGTTTAAAGACGTTTGTCGTGTCATCGAAGAAGACTTCGGGAAGAAGGTAATTATTTTTTTTATTAGTACGCGTTATTTAATAGAATGGGCAAGCGACCGCAGAAATGCATGAGCTAAGCTTGTCTGTGACAGTGAAACAGCCAGCAGCAACGTAGTTTTTTACCTGTTTTTGCACCCCCAATCACTTTTGGCCATGATGCTGTTATGTTCAGTTTCGAAAAAACAACCCCATAGTTAATCTTGGACCTTCTGAGGTTTTCTCGAGTTCTTTAAACGGATCTGTTGAAGGCGAAGCGATTGACTGTCACTGGCCGGTTGCTACGTGTAAGCGACAAAGCGGTATTCTAACGTGTGTTTTGAATACATGCTTCGGCCTGAGACTGAAATTACCTCTTGTGAAGCTGCACAAAGGACGGAGCGGTACGAATTTTGTTTGCT